CAGGGGAGCCCTCCTGTCTCGGAGTCCGTTAAAAGATCTAATAGTTGTGTGGAAACCCTCCCCGTAGAGGCGGTTAAATCTTGACTTCAAACTTTTCACCTTTTTATTATGTTCTATCTACGTGACTTTACCAAAAGAACCAAAGAATATGAATTCCTGCAGTCACGAAAGCTTTAAGTCAAGATTTAAAGAGGATTATTGCCGGTTGGAGTGCTTCGCAAACTCAATTTGATCATTACAAGCTATAGGAGTGGCCTAAAGAAGATGAATTTAATCAGTGTATGTTGTCTGCTTTAGAACCTTGGATTGCGAGCATAATTCGTTCCGGAAATGTGTTTGTAATCCAAAGTACTCGTATATCAAAGCACTCGTATATCAGTTGTGATCACGTGACGCTCGGCAGACAAAGCGTATACGTACTACTCGTAATGCAAGACCTCGCTCGTTTATCAAATTAATATTTATTTAAAAATTTTGCTCGTGTTGCAAAACACTCGCAGATCAAGTTACTCGCAATCCAAGGTTTTACTGTATTTCAATAACTTTATTAACATCAGACAAAAAACCCGGGTGCGTTTTACTTTCCAAAGCCTCTATTATTTCAGAAAATATATGACCACCAGAGAGAGAGCCATTGTTGAAACATTTTCCCCCAGAAAAAAAGTCCAAAATGTCACGTAATCCTTGGAACTGTGTGGTGTTTGAACATTTATTTTAAAAGTCCCCAGCTGCCAGAAGCTGACTGTAAAGGTCAGCAAACAGTGAAGAAAACCAAGTAGGAACTTGCTGCTGCCTGACGTTAATTCACTACACCTCTTCTCTTCCTACACTCATATGTCTCAATGGACTAAGCCATTAGGAGTAGGCTGGGCTCCAGGAATGAGGAGTATCTAAGCCCCGCAGCTATGCACTCTCTGTATTTGAGATATGCTCTTGATTTCTGGATTAACCCCAAGAAATCCAAATTAGAGGTGCACAATTTTGTATTATCAGGGATTAATTTAGTTTCGCTTTGATCCTAAAATATGTCACTTCCATGCGTTTTCCGCAAAAAGTGATGTCACGTAGCATTGGGTGATGTCATCTTTGTCCAAAAAATTGGCAATTGTATTGAAACATCTGAAATTATATATTTTTTACGTGAATTTAATCTCCATTTTGTTCCTCCTACCACTGAAATATGTTGGTCTGTAGTAGGGTTACCACGATATCATTATTCATGATACGATATCAATTTCACAATATAACAATTATAATGATGTCAGTTTCCCATTACTTTGGAAATGCATTTCACGTTACTTTTTTATTGTGTTGTAGTGTTTGATGCTTTTCTGTACTAAAGTGTTGAACTGCTGTTCTCTTCGCCTAAACCTGCCATAAGCATTTTTATCAAAACAACTTGACAACCTCTAATGCCGAACGTATGTGCTGTCAGTTACACGAGAAATCAACTTCAAAGATCAGGCTGTCATGTGCTGTTAATTACCGTTACCGTGAAAACATTCGCAAATAACTAAATTAATAGATAATGGCTACTCGTTTCGAACGTTAACTATTGAGTTTGTTATTTCATAAATATTTCGTCAAGATGAATCATATTTGGGAAGTATAAAAGGATTAACAAAAATCACGGAAGAATATTTAACCAAAATCTGACCATACATCTTCGTGGACGTTTTATTTCATATGTCGAATTGCCATATGGTGGTGACCCTTGACTATGACAAAAATCAGGTAGCACAGAGGTTTTTCAAGGTCATGCACGAGAGGGTGGCATGGCTGGTTCTTTGTCCAACACCGGACTTTATATGAATCTGATGGAAAAATGCTCTTCCAAAATGTTTTATTTTTGTCCAGAAATATATCTAATTTGTCATGATATTGAATTATAAATGTAAAAAAAACTATTAATCAAAGTCTGTATTTAAACTAGGCGAGGGTCCATTGAGGCTAAATCTATATCTGTTAGGGGCAACCAGGTTCATTAAATAATGCAAAACAAATGGTAAAAACGGATACAATACAACCGTACAGGTTTGAAAACGTAAGTTAAACAGAAAGGCATAACATGAAATCATATCCATATATCTGAAAATGACCAAATCACTGGGGATGCACCCAATCTTGTAAAATATCAGAAGCTAGGCAATGGTCAGTCTGGACAGTACTTGGATGGGCAACTACCGTGCATAACAGGTGATATAGGCTGCTGGACTAGTGTGGGCAGTGCAGTGGGCAGCAAAGGGCATCGTTGCGTTGTTCTTCCACGCTCCACCGCCTACACTCTCCCTGCCTTCACCAGGCAGCTGCGACCCAGCAAGGTTAAAATGTGGTCAAACACCCACAACTTGCAGGATATATGGGGAGGCCCCCCTCCAGAATTGGATTCAATGTGGGCTGTGCGTGCGCATTCGTAAATGCAAACTTGTTCCAAGCATCCATAATAGAGGGGGGGGGGGGTTCACAAATCTGGCTGTCGCCTGATGAAGCTAGTTGTAAATACTTGCGAAACGTCGTACTCAGATTGTAAATGTTGTGGCTTGGCTCTCCAACACACCGGTTAGTGCTGTACTAGTGACGAACTGGCACGTTCTGTTTACGTGACAACCCTTACTAGTTGGCTGTGTCGGGTGGTGGCGGGTTTTAACGACACAACATTTATATATTTACACGATCTAACCCCAAAAAAAAACTTATATTTTGGATATTGGTCGTGAAAGCCTACGTGTTAAACTTGTCAAAGCACGTGGTTTGACACGTGCAAATATAATAAGGTCGTTTTTTTACATATATTTAATCTATTTCCACTGGGTGAGTCCCCTGATAATCACTCAAGCACTTGCAACGAATGGTCATCCCACATGGCCACGTAAAAGGCAGAGAGAGATAAGCTCCCCAGGGCTCACAGACGAGTTCTGAGAGAGATGATGGCGTTGCGGTAAACAGCAGAGGGAGCCATTGCATCGTGAGCCACTCAATGCAGTCTCAAACTTGATTCTTTGCAGAGGTTATCCGCCGTTATTTAAGTTGCCTATGTTGCCTGTATAAGTTACACTTGTTGAAAAATGTAGTTTTTTTTAAGGACGGTGTTCATGTTGTTTCCTGCAACCTCGTTCACTGTTGTACTTTACTCCAGACTATTTTAACCTTGTAAAATGTGTACATTGTTTCCTGTATCCTTATTCATTGTTGCACTTTACTCTGACTATTTTAACCTTGTAAAATGTGTACATTGTTTCCTGCAACCTTGTTCAATGTTGCACTTTACTCTGACTATTTTAACCTTGTAAAATGTGTACATTGTTTCCTGCATCCTTATTCAATGTTGCACTTTACTCTTGACTATTTTAACCTTGTAAAATGTGTACATTGTTTCCTGCATCCTTATTCAATGTTGCACTTTACTCTGACTATTTTAACCTTGTAAAATGTGTACATTGTTTCCTGCATCCTTATTCATTGTTGCACTTTACTCTGACTATTTTAACCTTGTAAAATGTGTACATTGTTTCCTGCATCCTTATTCAATGTTGCACTTTACTCTATTTTAACCTTGTAAAATGTGTACATTGTTCCCTGCAACCTTATTCATTGTTGCACTTTACTCTGACTATTTTAACCTTGTAAAATGTGTACATTGTTTCCTGCAACCTTATTCATTGTTGCACTTTACTCTGACTATTTTAACCTTGTTAAATGTGTACATTGTTCCCTGCAACCTTATTCATTGTTGCACTTTACTCTGACTATTTTAACCTTGTAAAATGTGTACATTGTTCCCTGCATCCTTATTCATTGTTGCACTATACTCTATTTTAACCTTGTAAAATGTGTACATTGTTTCCTGCAAACCTTATTCAGTTGCACTTTACTCTGACTATTTTAACCTTGTAAAATGTGTACATTGTTTCCTGCAACCTTGTTCAATGTTGCACTATACTCTATTTTAACCTTGTAAAACGTCTCGAGATGGTAATTAAAATGATACTGCAGTAGTTAGTGTGCTGTGCAGTCCTCTCGGGTTGTGCTACCGCGTGTCGTTTGGCACGAAATCCGACGTTTCACTCCACATGCCGGGGGCCTTCTTCAGGAAGTGAATATTCTGGGCTGGGAATGAAACGTCAGACACCATGCCAAGCAACGCGCGTTGCAAAGGGGGGAAATCCATCGTGGAAGTATCCTCTTATTTACCATTAACATTGCTCCGTTCTTCCTATTATACTTGCAAATATCTACGCTGATCAGCGGTTAAGAAAAGTAGCATTGTGTAAAATTATAAAAGTATATTTTTTTTTACTTTTCTAATTAATAAAACACCAAGTCACTCAACAATGCATCATTGTACATCAGTAACAGTTTTATTAAACCCGTGAAACGAAGTAGAAATGAAAAAAGGAACTGAAAATTTCAACTGCTGTACACTATTGCCATCAGAAACAAATACATTTATTCAAGGTATATTCAACACTTAATGATAAGCGAGAGCAATAAAAGTACTGTATTATGTGCAAACATGCCAAATCCATGTCATCCTGGTAATAATTAATTGGCATGTTTGTTTACATGACAACGCTAATTAGCTGTGTCGGGTGGTGGCGGGTTTAACGACATATTTATATTTACGAGATCTAACCCAAATTTGTTTTATTATTACGGACTTACAGTCCCATATATACTTCCCAAGACGTGTTGGACAGCGTTCGATTAAATAGTTTAGGCCGATTAACTTCTTAATCGATTAATCATCGTCCGGGTGAGCTCATAAATTACCGCTTCAGTTTCCACGTTATGGCGGCTGCAGCAGCGGTAACGTAGCAACGACTTCCACAAACACTTTGCCGCCAAAACGCAATTGTTAATTATTTCTATTCTGATCGACGCAACGGCGCTAACGACTAATGCATTAGCACCGCTGCAGCAAACGTGCCATTGCACGCGAGCGTACGAAGCTGCGAGCGATGTCCAACGCGCTCAAAAAATATATTTTTTAAAAAAACACCCCCACAAAAACCGCCCTTTGAGCTGCGCCGCTAAAAGTATACACCGCCGCTTTCACGACGTCACGCCCACGGGGTAAACATATCCCAGCGTGCACCGCGGCGTGGGTGGGGGGGGGGTGGTGGCCGGGCGTGGCCGCGTGGAGACGGCGCCAGAAGCCGAGTTCCAGCGCAGCTCTCACCCCCCGCGTCTCTCTCGCTGCGGCTCCGGTTTCCCGGCCAGCGGTGGATAGAGCAAGCTGAAGCTTGACCAGCTTCAGGGCGAATAGGAGCGCACGTCGCAGGCGGCTCCAGCCGGTTCCCGAGGAGCAATCGAACCACAATCGGTGCAGCGAGCGGCTCCGGCCTTGACTGCAGCAGCAGCAGCTTCAGAGGCTCCAACTCGGCTCCCCTCCCCCCGAGTCCAGCTAAAAACTTCCCGTTCAGCAGCGGATAGAGCAAAGCGGCCGCAGCTTCACAGCGACTATAGAATACATTATCCAGCGGCGTCAGCTTTCTTACGGTCAAGCCTGAACGATAGCTTCAGCGTCGACTTCGCATTCAGCTAGTGGATACATATCCAGCTTCAACTCCGGCCTGCGCTGCAGCTCGATAATCATCATATCCAGAGCCCTTGAGCCTCCTGCTCCAGCGGTGGATAAGAGCTCCATAACGAGTCCAAACTGCATCGTTCAGCGGCTCCAGCAGCTACCTTAACCTCACAATCTGCTCTCCAATAGACTCTCCGCCGCCGCCGCCACTACGTTAGTTCCAGCTCCCGCCTAAACTACGGCTCCGTAGTAGGTAGGTAGGTAGGGGGCGGGGGGGGGGGTCCAAGCTTGTCGCGACGCATCCCACGGCTGGGAGTCGCGTCCATTGCGACTGCAACCCTGGATCTAGCAGCCTCGCCACCAGCTCCACCCGCGACTCCGCCTCGAGCCCAAGCCTCGACTCCGGCCTCGCCCGAGCGGGGGGGCGATGCCTCGGGCGGCGCTCGGGCGCTGAGAGTCCACGCGGTGGACGCCGGTGCCGTCGCGACGATGAACGTCAACAGCAACAAGACGGTGGCGGTGAACGTGGGCGACGTGGCGCAGCGCTGGATCGAGTCCGGCGCCCTCCTCCAGCCTCGCTCCCTGCAGCCCGACTCGGGCTCTGGAGACCGGGGGGACACGGTCCTGCCGGCGGCGGCTACCACCGCCGCCAGCAACCCTCCTGCTGTCCCTCAGGTGCCCTTCCACATCCCCGGGCTTGGCCGCCTGAGGCCGTCCTCCTACCTGGCTCTGTTCAGCGCTGTGAACAAGCTGGCTCGCCTGGACGACTTCGTGTGCGAGCTCAAGATCGGATCGGGATTCTTCTCCGAAGTCTACAAGGTGACTGACGGCAGTGGTCACACCGCGTTCTCTGGGGGTGGGGTGGGGGGGTGTGAGTTGCTTCTTAGTTGTCTTAAAAGTGCACCTAGCCTGGCACAAAGCGCGGTGGTGGCGTCACCCTTCGTGGCGAATATCAGCTGCCCGCTGTTCGTGGTCGTCGTCGTGGTGATGATGACTTCTCGGTTGTGCTGAGGTCGTTAAGTTGTTCCTCACTTAGGTCATCCCACAAAGACGCGGTCGCATAGAAGTATCGTGCAACAGTGGATTTTCCAGGCGCCGCTGTCTGCTGCCGACCCAGAAGCAACGCCGGCTATAACGCCTGTGGGTGTTCGCTCTTTCCCAAGCGCTAGGCCTGTCGAGACGTGGATGATGATGCTGGGCCATTCATCAGGCAGACCAGTTTAGTGGCACAGATGTGGCCAAATCGTATACTGTAGTAGTAACTTAAGTCTCAAAACTGCAGTGTTTCTCGAAGAGTTGCAGGCTACGCCAATGACCTAGAATGAAAGAGATGCCCCATGTGGGCTTGGCATGATTTATTGCCCCTGCACTTACACTTCGGCTTTCATCGGCATCAACATTATCTGTGGTCAATCCACTTTTGGACGCAGGGCCTTCTCCACCCATGCTTGTCAACGACCGTGTAATGCAATAGTTGGCGTGAAGTTAACACATCTCTGTGTGTTTATTGTAATGTTTTGGTCAAAACTGCTGCACTGAACTTGTTTATTTTTCATTCGTAAAAATTGTACATGTAAAACAAATTGTTAACGTTGTGGATTTTTCTCTCCAACACACCGGTGGGCTGAAGTAGTAACTAACTGGCGCGTTTTGGTTTACGTGACAAACCTTGCTGGCCGTGTCGGGTGGTGGAGGGTTACGACACATTTATACTTACGAGATCTAACCCAAAAACCTTTATTATGAATAATATTGGTCGCGAAAGCCTACGTGTTAAACTTGTTTATTTCATGTTCCAGGGGCTCATGTTACAATGCACACATCATCAACTACAGTGTCTTCCTCACTGCTAGGCTGTGTGCGTTTTAAATGAAGCACACAATAACCCCTTTTTATATAACAGAAAATTACCTGTGGTATTGCAACTGTTTTGATCAAAACGGCGGCGCCACGGTTAACTACCTCACCTGGTATACAGGAGGTCAGGGGTTCAGTCCCGACCCTGACGTCTGCTGTATTTTTTGGAGTTTGCCCCCATGGTGGTGTGGATTTTTCTCCGGGGTCCTCCGGCTTTTCCCTCCACATTTAGAGGCATTCGTTGAGAACATTTGGCCTTCTTAAATTTACCCATCATAAGCCACTTTCGTTGAGCTGTCAATTGTGGACCTTACCTGGTAAAAAAAAGAATAGTTTAGTTTTCGTATTAAGCTGCAGTGCGAATCCAACCCCAGGGGGGGGCCCTGCGTGTTGGTGTCTTATCCCATAAATCAACTGGAGTTATTTTCCCCGTTTTATTATTCTATAGGCTGCCCTTAGAGTGCTTCATTTGCAGTGTGCGTTGTCTTTCCTTGCTTTTGCATTATAGCTGTCAAGTAGAGAAATGAGAGATCAGTGTTTGGCAACCTGTGGTTCACAGACCACACTTACTGATCTGCAAGGCCATTGGAAGTCATCTGTAGAATTTGCGTATACTGTGATTTCATCACAAAACCCGGTGTAACCTCAGCCATCTCAATAATACGAAGCAATGAAAAGCAAGGAAATCGGTTGTTTATATGGAGATCAATTGACATTTTACTGAGTAGTCTAAATGTTGAAAAACATTTTTACTGGTACTTTGTGATTTGTCCTAAGGTGGTAACAATGTGGTCGGCATTTTATATTACTCTCCAGAAAGGTTGGCGAGATTGTCACGTAAGTTAAGGGGGAGCCGGTTGAGATCGTCCCAATTCGGCAGTTCGGCGTTTAACGTAGCCCTGTCCTTCCCTTGATTATGCCACTGCTCGGCAAATGTGGGGTGGCAGGATGCTCGATAGCATGGAGAGCCATGGTGTTGGCATTGATGTCGGTGTTCCGATGATGATACGCATGGCTGTGTTAAGAAATAACGGTGCTGTATAATGTTTTGTATGACGATGCCTTAGGCTATATACCCTTTGCTTCCAGCCGTAAAAGTTTTGGATTGCGTACAGCTGGCACAACCTAAACACTTGACCCCGTTGGTTAGATTTTGGCATTTTAACTTGTTTGAAACAGGCCATTGCCGTGGAGAAGATGAGCAAGGGCAGTAGAATGGATTTGTGTGAAAAGTCATCATAGTTTACGAGGAATGTGATAAGTTGCGCCTCTGAGCAAAACCTCAGCTAGTTTGACCTAGTCTGGTATCCATTTGTATACTGTGATTTTTAAGGTCGTGTATTTGAGGTCTTGTGTGGCTATAGAGTTATCCAAATCTACGAAGAAAACAAACTAGGATTTTACAATGGGTACACCACAGTCTATTGGCGTGCCGCATGTGGCAAGATCAATTGTGGGTAGACACACACCTTTTCCCAAATGTTTGGTCAGCATGACAGAGTGGGCCAATTTCTCTCCAGAGGGGTTCCATAGAGTTCCATCTACTGGAGGCCCTTCCGCCAGCAGTGCCGTGAACAAACAATTGCAGGGCTGCACCATTACCTTTGCACCTAGTTGTCTTCAATTTTAAATTTGAAAGAAAAAGCAGCCACGACTATTAATAGAGCTTTCTTCTGCCTGATTTGCGGCTTTGGCAGTGCACGTGGCTGGCCTTGCTACCCCCTGCTGATGGACCTCCCACAGTTGAGGCAGCAGGGTTATGCAGCTGCACACTGTCAGGCATGAGGCAAGTTCACACCACAGGGCATGCTCCAATCGGGCAGTTTGGCTGTGTGTTCCGTGCTAAAAATGAATTGCGTGCCCAAACTCTGGAGTGTGGCCCTTTAGCGTGTGCACGTGCAAGCTTCATTCAGAATTCTTAGCAATCTTGGAATTAAATAGAAATGTTTAAGGTCTGCATGGGGTCACCATAGGCACCTAGTGAATATAATAAATTAAAATATGGAATAGTCAAGTTCATAAGGTTGGCACCGGCAGAGCTGAAATCCCAGAGTGCATGTTTTCTGAGGCGCAAGCCACGCTAGTACTTGCTGCAGGTTGGGGACACATTCCAGCGGGCTTGCATATCTGTGTCGTACCTCTGCGAGGGGGTGGCTTTGCTTTTTGCACTGCACACAATGCACACACTTTGAGAGTTTGCTGCAAGATTTTACATTTAGATAGCTACACCTGGCAGAGCCTCTCCTTTTACCAGCATGGCTAGCTCTTAACAATTAAACTGTTGTATGAATACAACCAGCCTATGATCAAATCACCCGTGTAATGCAGCCGATTTCGTCAGATTGCAGAAGCTAAGCAGTGTTGAGCCTGGACAATGCTTGGATGGGTGACCAGTATGCATAAAGCATGTGTTGTAGGCTGTTGCAGGGCATATTATCAGCAGAGGGCAGTGTAGTAAAATCCTTTGTTGTAATGTATTTCTATGCTCCCACGTTTATACTCCCAACCTTTGCCAACCCACACTGACCAGGTTGGTGAAGGTATGGTCAAATAACCCCAACGGTTGAAGAGGCCCTCATCCAGCAGTGTAATTTGATCTGGCCGGTTGGGATTAAGCAAAGCACACGCTGAAAATATGTTCCCGTGTATAATGTTGCGTGACCGATGTAACAAAGCAAGTATTTGGAGGAAGTTATGTTAAGGAAAATAAATCTGATCACCATTTTCAAGCTATACTTGCATGTTGGTAGCATGGTATCCCTTTAATGAGCCTGCATTTCAAGGTAATGAACATTGCAAGAGTCTTGTGAAATTACTAAAATTATGGCCTTAGGGCTGTTGTAGTATATATGCGTGGCCAGCACACACAGTTAAGTATTGCCTGTGTTTGATTTTGTCTTTTAAATGCAAATTCCTACTGTGCGGGTAATGCAAGCGAGGAGGAAATTGTTGACAAAGTGTCCGCGGGGCACGGTGTGGATCTGTGGCCGATAAGAGTAGATTAACCCTGCCACCTGTGACAACAACAACAACACACTGACACGTCTTGTTTTTTTCTAAGCTTCGCGCGCAAGGCGTCCGTATAATTTCTACCGCAGCGCTCCCGACACTTTACCCAGTGCCTGGTAATGCTACTACGTTTGTGTACTTTTCGCCCGTCGTCTCAAGCACGGTGGCATCCTGTTTTTTTTGCTTTCCGGATGACAGTGGCGCTTGAAACGACGGCAGACAGTGAAGCGATCTTTGCTGCGCTTGCACGCGTGTCGCTACGAAGGAACGTGAGAGCACTTGCCCGGGCGGGCGGGCTGTGGCCTCCATTTGAGCGTGGCCCCCGTCACTCGATACGCGTTCAATGCCATTACACGTGAACAAAGGGCCCGGTGAATTTGTTCTCCGTGCTACCCGTAGCATTAGTATTCTGTATCTTCACCAGTCCCCCCCCCCTTTTGTTAGACTTGACGTGTTATGAGTGATGTATTTGCAGCAATGTGTATAAGTTTGATGTACTTCCCACACCCAGTTCTGAAATTACCTTTTTCTTCAATGGGACCTGGCTGGTGGCAATGATTTAACATTCCACAAATGTTTGAACGGGTCTGGCCGATTTCTATCTTGGGCAAGAGGAATTATTTGCATTTTTATGTTGTGCTGGCGCACTTAAGTGTCCTTATGTAAAATAGTTGTTACGCACAACGTGTCGTTTTAGATTGACGGCATGACACCTTGCTATTTTAGTCTTAAAAGACCCTTTATCCTCGCTCCCTCGTGAGCGTCCACTTCAAAGGGAAGTGAGGCCTGAACACTTCTCGGCTGCATTTGGCTCCTCCGAAATGCTCGGTCCGTTGCACACCTTTGATTACGCGGCCTAGCACATTGGGAGCCTCGGAGAGCCCGCGCGATGATTAAAATTTGTTTTTGCTTGGATACCCAAATCTTCATTGCCCTTGGCCTTGACTCGGTCT